AGCGCCTCACCTGCAGAGCAGCCCGGGAGGTGGGGGGCGTGGGCTTCAAGTGGAGACTCTCCACACAGGGGTGCCTTTCGGGTACTGCGGGGCAGGTAGGAGCTGTCCTTTCAGCACCTACCGCGCCATCGCCTCCCCGAACGCTAAGCCGCCCCCCAACATCGGGCGGGCGGCTTCCTTGAGTCCCTGCACGTCCGGCCCCTTGGACCCCGTCACAGAATGGTGGAGAAAGCCGCCAACACGATCCGCGAGCTCTCCCCTCCCCCTAAGCCCTCTGGGTCTCGGGTACAGCTAGCCCAGCTGCCCCCGCTCGACAGAGGCCACCAAACCTGGGCTTTGCAGATGCCACAGCTGGCGAAATCCCTCCCAGCAGTATCAAGCCCGCTTGCTCCCGCTGTTGAAGGAAAGCGCCGGAAGATTGGGAAACAAGTAGATGAACAGGTGTGATGGCCAAGGGGCCCTTCCAGTGCACCCCAGCCCCAAGCCCAGCGATCCAGTGCTAGCCAAGCGCACGACAGAGGGTGCCAATCGCAGAAGCAAAGCGTTCTTTGGTTAGTCACTAAACAAATCTTACATCTAAGTTTTTTTTTTTAATTCTATTTGATACCCAGAACACAATCCGCTAAACATCTGCAACAGGGTGTTTGGCGCTCAAGTGGAAGACACATAAACAGGTCCCACCTTATTTTTTGAGGCAAGGGTTGAAGCTAGTTTGCACCAGCCATACTAGCAGAAAGCAAACATCCAAATCAAGCATTTTCAGCCTTTGCTTCTGGGCAGCAATGGTTCTGCCTCTTCCTTCCACTCCCACTGCCTCCCGAGACCTCCCCCTCCCCTGCACCTTTCCCAGAATACAGGTCTCCAGGCTGGAAGATACCTTCTCCATTAATCACCTGTACTGTACTCCAATCGTAAGAGAAAGTCAGCCAGGACTCAACAGCCATGCTTGCTGGGCAGATTCCGTTTGCTGCCTCCAGCCTCTCATTCCCGTCTTAATTGTAGGGCTCTGCATTATAGCCACATAATTCATGCCTCCCTAATTAAAGCTGTCAACAGCCTCATTGTAAAGCTGGAAAATGTACAGCACCTGCTCTTGGGGAACTCTGTGCCAGGGATTGATTTCGGGAAGTGCCAGGTGTATAGGGGGCCTTGCCAAAGGGTGCATTGATTGGCTTCTGGTTGCAGTGTCAGGATTTTATCCTTGATTCTGAGATGGAATGATGGCCAAAAGGTCACCAGTGACAGATATCTAGGCACAAACGAGGTGTCGGGGCAAGGCATAGAAAGTTAGGAAGGAGCACATTTAGCATGGCTTATAATAGCCCACCTCTTTCTGGGAGGGAGGTGCTGGGTAAGGGGTTCACAAGACAGAATGAGAAAGCCAGAGTGGCATTTGATCGGTGTTCCTGGCTAGTATTTACTGTTCTGGGGGCACCTGAAACAATAGCTCTGGAGACCTCTCTTCAAAGGTAGTAATCTCTTCTCAGCCCTATGGAGAGGCAAGGAACGGATAGGATCTTGTCTCTTCCTGTAAGGTAGTGTTGACCCTCACAGGCTGAGAGCCTGGAGTAAGTTCTGCCATGATGAGAGTAAATTGTCTCCGGATCTACTTAGGGAGTCAGGTCAAAGAGCTGTGAGGAGCCTTGAAGATTGGGAGTGGGAATCAGTTTGCGCTGGTGATGGAAGGAGACAGTCAATCAGGAAGTGCTTCGTTCTGTTCAGTCCTGATGTGTTACAAGTTGGCCTGTATTGGATTAGGGCCTCTACAGGCCCTTCTGCTACCCTGTAGCTATGGAGGGGGTTGGGTCTCATTGGGGAGTGGAGTCTGGCCCCATGCCCTGCAAGGGGGAGTAAAGCTTGTGTGGGCTGAGTCAACAATAGGTAATTGGATTGTAATCACCCGCCTGGCTTCCATGAGCCATTGGGGGCGCTGAGCCTTTCAGTGAGCAGTGGGTACTGGTGGGAGGGGGTGGAGATTCAATAGCAAATCCCAGGTGGAGAGCCAAGGGGAGGAGCAGCAGATGGGCAAATTTTCTTCCTGCCCTTCCCACTCTGCAAAGCTGGCTGCCTATCAGTTATTTACAGTAGACTCAAATCTTTTGTGAAGTTAACATGGTGGGGGCTCAGGGCAAAGCCCTAGGTTTTGGGAAGGCCTCTTCTGCATGTTGAAGGATAGGCTAGGGCAGGAAACACAGCTGGTAAGTTAGAGTCCCCTGGTCTCCAGATTACTGGTGACTGGTCTTGGACTTGGAAGCATGGGAGACTGTCCCTCAAATCCCAGAGGGGGCCATCTATAGGCAGTAGGCCTTGGCTTTGGGACTGCCTGCAAAGCAAGGGGAGCACAAGTCATCAAAACCAGGGAGGTGCCTTTCACCAAGAAAAGAAAAGGAAGTTGGGGCCCACAAGGCAGAGGGCAGGGCAAAGTGGCCAGTAGCCAGCCTCACTTAGGCAGGTGCAGTGCCCAAAAGTGCCAGCCAGTCAGCCCGTTTAAGTTCCAAGGCCTGCAGGAAGCCTTGGACTCGCTCTTCCCGTTTGGCGGAGAGTTTGTGCAAGCGTGTCCGGCGGAGTTGGGCATCCGCATTGGCCTGGAGCCCCTCTCGAAGCAGCTGCTCTGTCACTGCAGCCTGGTCCCTCTCCAGCTGGTGTCTCTTCCGCTCCTCAGCATACATGTCCCGGGCCTTCTGCTAGAGAGAAGCCGGGTTAGGGGTAGGGAGTTAATTTTAGGTGTGAGTGGAGATGGGATGGAGACGGTGGGATTAGGGTGCACAGTGGCCAAATATACAAGCTCGGGAGAGTTTCTACCAGTGTGGAAGGCCAGCGGATGGCATCTGTGTTACAAAGTCAGTCAGCAGTCCATCTTGGCTTGTTTTGTGTGAAAATATCCGTTATTTCTTAAAATTATTTCTAGCTTACATTGAAAACAGGTAAACAGTCTGACTTTTGATTCTCTATAGCTGTGGGAAGATCCTCCCCAACTAATTATTTTTTTAATTCATTTGTAAAGTGGGGGCTGTGCCTACCTTGAAGAGAGGTTTAAGGGATTAGGGATAATAAATGCAAAACCCACTCTAACATATTAGCAGACAGAGAAACTGTGATTTTTATATGTTGCTGTTGTCTACTGTCTGAGACATATTCACTGGGTCATCTTACAGTCCCAAGGTCAGTGTGAGGTGCTGTTCTCCAACTCCATAATCTATTTTTCAGGGTCCAGCTCTAGACCAGCCTCCTATAATGAAGACAGGCTTAACTCTCTGAGCAAACAGCCCTTCTAGGAACACTGAGAAGCCAATTCAACTCTCTTAAGCCACTTACTGCTGCCTAGACCAGGTATTAGTCTCTAGTCCGCTCTTTCTTTTGGAAAAGAAATCCCTTCATGGCTCCAGAGCCACCAGGGCCCCTGGAATTAATTCTGACAGCTGGTGATGATCAGAGTCTCTGAAGTACCTCTCAGACTGTGCATATGTCTTCTGACGATGACAAACTCTTTAAAAGGACAGAGACGGCTTTCCCTCTCTGGCACTTGGAGCACTCTGCATATGACCCATTCACTTACTTGACCTCATGATCACCAGAGGACAGGAAGGGTGCTGATGGCAAAAGTAGGGATCCCTTTGGAACAGAAGGGGCTGGCGTGTCTCATGGACTGTTCCTGCAGATCTATTTGGCCTACAGAGTTTTGGCAGCAGAACTCCTGCCAAACCTATCGCATGAGTGGGCAACATGGAGTGTTTTTGTTTTTGAGACAGGGTTCTACTATGTTACACAGATTTCTGCCTTCCAAGTTGCTGGGACTACAATCACTACACTGACCAGTGAGCAATGGGGTTTTCCTATAGGATATCTATATGTATGTCATATACTTTATGTCCCGCACTACGTTGTGTTCAAGTCTTGTCCTAATCAGCCTATAAGCTCTGACTGCCTTGTCTTCATGCTTTTTGTTGTTGTTTTTGAGACAGGGTTTCTCTGTGTAGCCCTGGCTGTTCTGGAACCCACTGGCCTCAAACTCAGAGTGCTGGAATTAAAGGCACGTGCCACCACTGCTCAGCTCTTGTCTTCACTCTTTAGAAGCATCCTATATGTTATGTTCACAAACACTTGCATCCATTGTCTCACTGACCTTCAAAATGGAGCTGTGAGTAGGCCAGGTGTGGTGGCACATGTCTGTGATCCCAGCACCGCAGAGGCAGAGGCAGAGGCAGAGGCAGAGGCAGAGGCAGAGGCAGAGGCAGAGGCAGAGGCAGAGGCAGAGGCAGAGGCAGAGGCAGATGGATCTCCAAATTCTAGGCTACCCTAGTTTACAGTGACCAGGACAGCTAGAGCTACATAGTAGGGATACCCTGTTTCAAAACACCAAAAAACATCCCCTCAAAAGCCAAACTAATAAATTACTTGTGTGTGTGTGTGGGGGGGGGGGGGTCAGCAGTGGCAGGCCAAGGTGGGTGGGCAGCAACACAAGGGGGGAAAGGTGGCAGAATAGGTGACAGAATATGTCTATAACCCAAGCATTAGTAAGGAGAGACATCCCTGAAACTTACTGGTCTTCCAAGCTAGCAGAATAGATCAACTTTACCTTTAGTGAGAGGTCCTGTCTTGTTGGCAAAATGTATCAGTAGGGAAAGGTAGTATTTAAGCCTGACAAATGAATTCAATCCCTGGAACCCAAGCAAATGAGGCAGGAGAGCTGGTTATGGTAGGCCACACCTTTAATCCCAGCACTCAGGAAGCAGAAGCAGGCAGATCTCAGGGAGTTTGAAGCTATCCTGATCTACAGAGGGAGTGGCAGGCTAGCCCGACCTACATCGTGAGTTCCAGACCCTGTCTCAAAAACAATAAAGAAGTTGGAAAGAGAAAACAAACTCCACAAAGTTGTCATATGACCTCCATATGCACACGGTGGGACACTGTGTCTACCCACATTACACTTAAACACATATACTAATAATAAATGAAAGATCAAGGAAAGATATGATCTATACTTACAGACATGCACATACACAAACAAGTACATATATACATACTCTAGCCATACAAGTAAAGTTGCATGGATTTTCTTAGGTCAGAATGAATTTGCCTGAAGCCCTGAAATTTAAGAAATTCATGTCCGAAAGACTCTCACCTCTCAAAGACTATATTTCTTCTTTCTTTAAAAAAAAAAAAAATTTATTTTTCTAATTGTGTGTGTGTGTGTGTGTGTGTGTGTGAGAGAGAGAGAGAGAGAGAGAGAGAGAGAGAGAGAGAACACATGAGTCATGAGTACAGGTGCCCACAGAGATCAGAAACACTGGCTTTCCCTCAGAGCAGAAGTGACAGGTGGTTGTGAGCTCCTGTGAGTGCTGGAAACTGGTTTTAATCCCTTGGAAGAGCAGGAAACCCCCTTAACATCTGAGTCATTTCTCCTATTTTCCTTTCTTTTCAAGTAAACTTTTTATTTCTAGGAAAAACCATAGATTGCCCATATCATACAAGTAATTTTTCTTTAAGAGTAATCCTAGCCAGGCGTGGTGGCTCACACTTTTAATCCCAGCACTCAGGAGGCAGAGGCAGGTAGATCTCTGTGAGTTCAAGGCCAATGTGGTCTTGGTCTATAAAGTGAATTCCAGCACAGCCAGGGTTTCACAGACAAACAATATCTCAAAAACCACAAGTAATCCTGAGCATTCTGTTTTATAGACCAGATAACTGAGATTTGGTAATACAACAAAAATCTAGGCAAATATTTACATTAGCTATTGAATATCTTACACAAAACTTTTCAGATAGGTTAAAATAAACAGCCAGCGATAAAATTATAGTATAATTTTATTTTTGGTTTATAGCAAGATTTTAAATATTATTTATTTAAAGACAGGGTCTTGCTGTGTGGCCCTGGTTAGCCTGAACTTTCTAATGGAACCAGAGTGGCCCCAAAGTTGTGATGATCCTCCTACCTCTGGTGCCTGTGCTGGGATCACAGTCCATATGTCACTATGCCAGGCTCCAAGGCTTGCTCTCTTTCTTAAAATAAAATTTTGCCAGGAGGTGGGAGCACACACCTTTCATCCCAGCACTCGGGAGGCTGAGGCAGGTGGATCTCTGTGAGTTCGAGACCACCATGGTCTACAAGATCTAGTTCCAGGACAGGCTCCAAAGCTACACAGAGAAACCCTGTCTCAAACCCCCCCCAAAAAACATTTTTTACATTAATTAATAGTGTACATACCAATGGTTTGCCTGAATATTTATGTATATGCACCTGTGTGTGCCTGGACATGTCAGAAGAGGGCGCTGAACTCCTGGAACTAGTTACCGGTGGTTGTGAGCCACAATATAGATGCCTAAAGCTGAACCAGGTCCTCTAAAAGAGCAACAAATATTCCTAACGACTGGGCCATCTCTCCAGCCACCTAAGGTTTTTCTTTCTTTTCTTTTTTTCTTCCTTTCTTCTAGGTTTTTTGGGACACGATTTTTCTGTGTAACAGCTCTGGCTGTCCTGGAATTCACTCTGTAGACCAGCCTGACTTCAAACTCACAGAGATCTGCCTGCCTCTGCCGCCCAAGTACTAGAATTAAGGGCATGCAGCACCACACCTGGCTTTTTTTTTTTTTTTTTTAAGATTTTATTTATTATGTATACAATGTTCTGCCTGCATGTATGCCTGCAGGCCAGAAGAGGGCACCAGATCTCATTATAGATGGTTGTAAGCCCCCATATGGTTGCTGGGGATTGAACTCAGGACCTCTGGAAGAGCAGTCAGTGCTCTTAACCTCTGAGCCATCTCTCCAGCCAAAAGCTTTATCTTTTCTTCTTCTTTCTTTCTTTGTTTGCTATTCTGTTGCCAATGTTGGTGGAGAAACATCCCCAGAAGCAGGAATGGCAGAGATGCCTAAAGGCTCAGGGCTCCTCTAAATGGCAGCCCCAAATAAGCACCAGAGTGAAGAAGTCAAGGCAAAGGCAAAGCCTGTCCCATTTGTAGGAACCAGTGGCCCACTGTGAGGATGACATGGGGCAGCTGAGCTCCTTATTTTACAGACAAGGACACTGAGGCAAAGACACAAAGGGACTTAGTTTATGTCACACAGCTGGCTGAAATTCTGTTGGTTTCTCCAAAGTGGCTTTTTACATTAAAAGGGGGGGGGGATGTCTCTCTCTACATAACCCAGGTTTTCCTAGCACTCACTTTGTAGACCAGGCTGGCCTCAAACTCACAGAGAACCACTTGCCTCTGCTTCCAGTGCTGGGGTTAATGGAGTGTGCCACCACACCTGGCTCACTGTGGCTTCTTGACAGGATGGGAAGTATATCTTGTATCTAAGGATAGCTGTAGTTCTGGGGGTGGAAAAACCATCTTCTAGATAACTTCTGTCCACACTCATGTGTCTGGAGCTACTCTCACAATCTCAGAGATGCCCTAGGTTCTTCTCAGTACTTGCCCTCAGAAAACCCAAGCAAGTGGGACACGGTAGTATATACCGGCAATTCCAGCACACACCTGTAATCACAGAGGAGGCCCAAGCAGGTCTGCTATGAGTTCAACACTGTCCTAGGCTACATGGTGTGCTGATATTTTGTTTGTGATCTAACAAATAATGCTTGCCTGAAGATCAGAGTGCAAAGCTAAGCCACTAGTTAGCCATAGAGTCCATGAAGTGGTGGCACACACCTTTAATCCCAGCACCCAGGAAACAGAGGCAGATAGAT